CAGCCCCTCCGTCACCACCATGTCCTGCACACCCTCTCCATCACATCCCTGTCCTGCCCGCCCCTCCATCGCAACCCTGTCCTGCACGGCCCCTTCATCACCCACCATGTCCTGCATGGCCCCTCTGTCACCCCCATGTCCTGCACAGCCCCTCCATCACCTGCAGGTCCTGCACAGCTTCTCCATCATCCGTGTGTCCCACACAGCCTCTCCATCACCTCCATGTCCTGCACAGTCCCTCCATCACCGCCATGTCCTGCACGGCCCCTCCAGCACCCTCATGTCCTTCATGGCCCCTCCATCACCCCTATGTCCTGCACAGCCCCTCCGTCACCACCATGTCCTTCATGGCCCCTCCATCACCCCCATGTCCTGCATGGCCCCTCTGTCACCCCCATGTCCTGCACAGCCCCTCCATCACCTGCAGGTCCTGCACAGCTTCTCCATCATCCGTGTGTCCCACACGGCCTCTCCATCACCTCCATGTCCTGCACAGCCCCTCCATCACCCCTATGATGTCCTGCACGGCCCTCCAGCACCCGCAGGTCCTGCACAGCTTCTCCATCATCCCTGTGTCCCACACGGCCTCTCCATTGCCCCTCAGTCCTTTTCCATGCCCCCCTGGGCCTGCACATCCACGTCATCTTCCCCCAAGTCCTACACGGCCCCTCCATCACCCCGTCAACACAATATCCCTCCATCTCCATGTCCTATAAAGCCCCTCCAGTGTCCCCTGTCCCCAGATGCCTCCACTCCCCCAGGTCTCCTCATCACCCCTGCCCAGCCCTGCTGTCACCTCTGCTCATCCTCCCACACCAGCTCTGACGCGGTCCCCACATCCCACTCGCTCTGTGTCCCCGCTCTGCCCTTCCCTGGCACAACCCCACAACAACCCTGCCCGCTCAGCCCCATTTCAGCCCCAAAATCCCCCGGTGGCACCTGGGGAAGGAGCCGCTGCGGCGCGGGGGGCCGGGCACGTCTCCCATCGCGCTGCCACGTGGCCCCGCTCGTCCCATGCTCCGCAGCTCTGCGCG